TGTTACTTTCCTCTTATGTACTTCAACAAGTGCAAACTAGTTGAGTCAACTCTACCTTCGATATATTCAATGTGAAACTCAACATAATTTTACGAAACTAGACCCTTGTCAAAATGGTAAGTTAGATTCAATTTTGAATCTACCTCGACCTTAAAACATTAAAAACTAATTTTCAACAAAGACATAAATAAAGTCATAATTTTTAATAAATAATAAAATACCAGCTCTCTTTCTATATATTAATATTTATTTATTTATATATATAATATTTTTTTTTCAATTTTATTTTATAATATGTATATTAATATATATTTGATATACATATAAATATAAATATAATTTATAAATATAATATGTATATTAATATATATTTGATATACATATAAATAAATATAATTTATAAATATAATATGTATATTAATATATATTTGATATACATATAAATAAATATAATTTATAAATATAATATGTATATTCATATATTCATATGTAAATATGTATAAATATATTTATAAATATATAAACAATATAATATACATAATTGAAATATACATATTATAAAACAAAATTGAAATAAATATATTTATAAATTTATATAAATATATATAAATAAACATATTTATATATTTACATAAATATATATAAATATATTTTAAACAAAGTATTTATATTTATATACATTAATATATATTTATTTTTGTATATATATTTTATTAATTATATTTTTTTAAAAAAATATTTTTTGTATATATTTTTTATTAATTTATATATTTTTGTATATATATTTTATTAATTTTATATATTTTTGTATATATATTTTATTATTTTTATTTTTTGAAATAAATATATTTATATAAATATATATTTATATATTTACATAAATATATATGTGTAAATATATTTATAAATATATATCAATATATTTTAAACAAAATATATCAATATTTATATATTTATTTATTTATTGTATCTATATTTTGTTAATTTTATAAGTATATATATTTATTTTAAACAAATTATTAATATTAATTTTTTATTAATATTTATATGTAGATATGTATATTTATTAAACAAATATATTTTTTTCTATATAATATTTATATATAAACATATATAAAACTCTATTTTTTGTATATTTGGAGTTATTTTTGATATATTGTTTAGATATGATGTTTTTGGAGTTGTTTTTGTTTGTGTATTACTGTAGTATTGTAGATAAAAAACAAGTATTTCAAAAACTCTCAAATTCACACCAACCCATAAGTATCTTGAATATATTTTTTCGATTGCCTGAAGGGACAAAAGAAACATCTTGTTGTTTTTTCAATTTTTTTTCCTTTACTGTACCTCTCAGTACGATTCAAACCCAGATGAAATTATGACCATCTATTACAGACATACGAATTAACCAATCTTGTAACATTCCCAACGAATTCTTAGATTTCTTTGGGAAGATTTCTTATTTTAATGTCCTCAGTATTGGCTATTTTAGACTAGCGTAAATTATATAAGTACAAACTACAACACATTTTCATACAATTAGTTATTTCATTTTTAAGATTCACATTTTAAGTTATCCCATAATCATGTGAATACTATTTTCTACGATAGCATTCAAAAAATGTACATACAAATGAGATGCATTGACACCTATGATATATATTACTAATGTTACATTCTGTGACTGATTTTAAACTTTTTGGGACTTGATTAAAGCAACAAAACATATTGCATCACTAAGTTCTCTCAAATTTGTTCCCATTCAACAGTTAACGATACAACAAGGCAATTTTTTCCAATTTTTTTTTTTCAACAAGGTCATTTTCTATGCAACGATGTAACTACATCAAGTTCATAGTCTTAACTACGTTTTAAAGCATTGCTAATATCTTGTGCATTTTGCGCTCTGCCAAATTACCCGGAAAATTTTTTTCCCCTTTTTTTTACTTACCAAGCGATCATTCATCTACTTTCCATTCAATTTCTCTACCATTTAATTTTATTGGGTTCACAGATTTTCTTACTTTTATTATACTTGTATAATATGTTTTCCACGAGCCAAATCCATTTAATTACATGATGTTCAAGATACATTCACATATTATATGAACATTATTCGACCTTGATTGAATATTAAATGACCTGTAAATGTTGCTCGAACTAGCTTCAATATTTTGTATATATGTTACACTTCAAATTCGATGTCAATTTCTTAAATTAAATTAATCGAATTCAAGCTTGAGCTCTAACTCCAATTTCATTTTCAAAACTATTTCATTATGCATTTCAAAGATCATTCATGATTTACAATAAATTTAATTATGCTTCTTTTTTTACCAACTTAAATAATATTCATTTCATATATAATTACTTTTATAATGAAACAAGACATATATATCCTATATTTAAAGGTATACTCATATTGCTATTCATTTATTCTTTGTCGTTATATATGTGTTCACGAACTATTCACAAAGTTTGTGAATAGGATCGTGCTTGTCTCGACTACTAAACGAAGCTGACATCGTGTTCAAGTTTGATTTATTTATTAAACAATCAATCTTTTTTGTCACTCGAATGAACCAAACTCGAACATCTTTGTCATACCTTAACTTGTACTATACATGAAACTTAGAGAGGAAGGGATGATTTGGATGTACCTATTTTCAAGTTCGAGACCTGCCACTTGCACAAAAAAAACGTGACAATACTTAACTCTTCTTTGCTTCCATTCTATAACTTTTAATCGCATCATTCTTATAGCCCATAAATCCCACTTCTCAAATTCGCCAAAACTGATGCGCCCATGGAATGTTCGACTTCATCATGGTTACCAATACATACACATATACACATGTATACACTCATACACACATATACCATATTTATTATTTTAAGAATTAATCATTTATACTCTGCCAATTTCGATAATTATCTATTTTGATTATATAACAACTAATTTGTTCTAATTGAGTTGTATTTATTTTTCATCTAACTCTCTTCCAACAAATTTCATTCATAATTTGTCTCTTCTAATCAGCTCGATCGTGCCTAATGCATTTCAGTTATTCTTTTTATCCTTGCCTTCTAATTTTATTTATCCTTTTTCAATACACTTGCATTATCGTACATAGTAATTTGCGTGTACATTTATTAATTCACTTTTTATATTGCTTAACTGATTAATTTTGTTACATAGTAATACATCACTAATGCACAAATGCACTATGCTATCTTTCATTTTATTTCTACTTAAAATGAATACCGATGTCAATATAATCACACACATCATAAATTTAATTACCATCCCACATAATATATTTCATCTATTGTATGAATTGTATTATTTAGCAGATATGATTGCACCACACTATTTTTGTATACATAACTTTTTTAAGACTACTATGGTACATAAATACCTCAAGTGCAATTATTTCTTCATACAACTATGAATACTTTAACCAAACATTATTATACAATTATTTACACCTTGGATCAATTCATAATTAATCATTAAGCAAAAAAAAAAGATTGCACTAGCAAAATAAAAGTTGTTATTCATGGACATACTAAACCTGCTACAAATTACATGCATCTATACCATGCTTTTTATTTGGGGATGATTTCAGAAACCTTTCCTAAGGTTTCTGACTATTTCATTGAATTCTCATGAGATTTGAATAATTACGCTTACCTCCATTAATTCAATAGTTTAAGTAACAATATATTAAAATAATATTTATTTCGGCAAATTTAAATGAATACCCATAAATGCCATTGTACAACGTGTTTTATTTTTTTCTATAAAATTAGACTATTATCTAGTATAATTATATGGAATAGGTGCCAAATTTTTTTATGTACATATCTGCTATTTTATAAACAACTATAATAATTTTATTATTATGATTGGAAACTTTTTCCTGGTATTTTATTATGGATTTAGATTTATAAGATAGAAAAAATATGTTGATAAACTCATTTCAAGTTTATTAATTTTTCAAGTAATGCAATTATCATAATTTAATACTGGTTTTGGCCCATAAAAAGGTTCATTTTGTCAATTAAAAATAAAAATTAGAAAACAAAATAAACAAAAACATTGAATTACATATAAAATTAACTCGTAACAAATTTCACTAATTCGACATTTAGTTATAATAGAACCTAGAGACAATAGTGACAGTTCTACAGTTTCATTGACGAACAAATAACAAAAAGAAATAAGAAGGAAAAAATTTTAACAAACTCATTGTAAATATACGTATACCAAATAACAGAATTTTCTTAAAATATTTAAGATTTAAATTGTCTTTTTAAATCCCAAGGAAGGTATGTGTAATTGTTTAATTTTTATGTGAGAGGGAGTTCAGGGAATTCAGTGAAATCTCGGGGGATATTTCTGAAAGTACCCCTTTTACTGCCCAGCCTTTTTCCGGGGCCACTTGCAATTTAGTGTTTCGTTGGTCTCCGGTCTTAAATTAATCATCTTTCCACGTTTGCAATGATGTGGACGTCCAACTGGAACATCACATATTTCTTGCCAACTGGTTTGACGTGGAGGTGGAACTGGAACATGTGCTCCACTATTCCACGCCGGCTCAGCAATTCTCCTTTCGGTTTCCATGCAGCCTTGATTTCCGTGGCTGGACACGTGCTAATCGATGCTTCAACGGGCCAGCTTTTCCCTTGCTGGGGACATCCGTACTGTCTCCATTATAGAAAAATCCACATGTAGTCTATTTTGTTAGAAAAATTTTGTTAGAAGATCTTTTATTTTATTTTTACCTATTTCATCCCCTGTCAGTCCCCACCCAACCGCCCACTACACCACATGTAGTCTATCTTTCGATAATCTGTGCGAGCTTAAAATTTTATAGAAAATCTCTCTTTTTTTATTTATTCTTTTTAACCTATTCCATTCCCTATGGCTATAAGTCTCCACGCAATCTTTCTTGGCAAAAAACGGTGGCCTTCCCATATAGTATAAATCACCAAAACGACGCCATTTTGAAAGCTTCTAGCTCCCCCTCTCCTTTTATTTGGGTAAAAAAAACCCATTCTAAAACCCCTTGTCTCGGGGTTTCAATTTCATAAACCCTTCCCTTCGGGTCGGGGCTCTGATTAACATCAATGGCAGAGACTTGAGCCCTGTATACGAGATTATGAGGAGAAATGTCCATGCCTTTTCTATCATAGCTTGGAGTTGGAGACTGTTCAGTTCTTCTTCCAACAGCAATCTTGGAGGTATTTCTCAGTGTTTCTCTCCAAGCCCACTTCCTCTTTCATTACCCTTTTGTTGCATTAGTAGCAATTTTAGTGTTTTTTCGCCCCATTTTTATTCTCCAAGGACTATTCATTCTCACAATCAGAGTCATTATAAATCTGGTTTTGCTGACAATGTTAAAACTCTTGATGCTGCCTTGGATTTGTACGAGCAGATGGTGTTAACGAGCCCTCTGCCTTCCGTTATTGAGTTTGACAAATTGCTCGGTCGAGTCATTAAGTTGGAGCATTATTCAGCTGCTATTTTGATGTACAAACATATGTGCTTCTTGGGTTTTATTCCAGTTGATCATTATATCATGACGAGAGCCATTATTTGCTACTCTTTCTTGAATAGGATTGATTGTAGTTTTTCTGTTTTGGGGTCCTTCATCAAGCGTGGTTACGCGCCTAATGTTGTAACCTTTACCACTTTAGTCAGAGGGTTGTTTCGAGCACGTATGATTCACGAGGCACTAGAATTATTGGAGTGGATAATATGTGTAAAGCTCTGTGAGCCCAATGGGGTTCTGTATGGTACCATAATAGATGGTCTGTGTAAGGAGGGAAACACTAGCGCAGCTATTCAAGTTCTTAGGATAATGGAAAAAGGAAAGTGTAAGCCTGATACTATTATGTACAGCACCATTATTGACAGCTTGTGCAAACATAAGATGGTTAATAAGGCTCTTACCCTTTTCTCTGAGATGATTGATAAGGGCATTCTCCCAAATATCATCACTTATAATTGTTTGATTCATGGTCTATGTCGAAATGGTAAATGGATGAAGGCTAAAAAGGTGTGGGTTGGTATGGTTGATTTTAATACATATCCAGATGTTCGTACATTTAATATGTTGGTTGATGCACTTTGTAAGGATGGAAGAATTGATGATGCTGAGTATGTGATTGATACCATGATTCAACGAGGTGAGAGTCCTAATATAGTCACCTACAGTTCACTGATGGATGGCTATTGTATGCTGGGCAGGATTGCTGATGCGAGAAGAGTTTTTGATCTGATGAATGCTAGAGGAATGCATCCTGATACTCACAGCTATAGTATTTTGATTAAGGGATATTTCAAGATAATGAAAGTGGATGAGGCTATGCAGCTCTTTCGGGAGATTAAATCTAAAGGTTTAAAACCTAACATTGTCACTTACACAACTATCTTACAGGGCTTGTTTAGGATGGGAGAGTTGGCTACAGCAAAACATGTTATCAACAAGATGAAAGCTACTGCCCTGATTCCTGATTTTCACGCTTACTGTGTCATATTGGATGGCTTGTCAAAAAATGGACATATCAATGAAGCATTGCAATTACTGGAGAAGATTGGAAGTGACCGGATAGGCCTTGATATTACCATGGTAAACATCATCATTAATGGATTTTGCAAAAGTGGGAAACTTGATCTTGCACAAGATATTTTTCGAAGTCTTCCTAGTAAAGGACTGCTTCCCAACATTGTGACTTACACTGTGTTGGTAAAGGGACTTTGTGAAGCAGGAAAGCTGAGGGAAGCTAAGGGGCTTCTTGTGAAAATGAAAGAAGATAGCTGTTATCCAGATGACCTTGCTTACAATACCATTGTCCGTGGATTTGTTAAAAGGGATGACTATGTTGAGCAAAAATGCATCTTGAAGAAATGACTGGGAAAGGTTTTTCTCTTGACTAATCCACTGGTTTGATGTTACTGGATTTAGTTATCACTGAACGAAACAATCCTAATAAAAGCATCTTCAGGAAATACTTGCAAAAGGTTTCTCGCCACTTTAATCCACCCTCTGTATTTTACCATGTGTGGATTCCACCGAAGGAAATTATGTTAATCTATTTGATATGTTCAAAGAGTTGCTCCAAGGTCTCTCTAATTAAAAGCTGTAAATGGATGATTGCAGGTGTATTTTATTGTCTGAGATTCCTTGAAGAGCTCGTTTGCTTGGAAATGGCCTGAATGGCTAAATTGGAAATTGGAAACTGGAAAGTGGTAAAGGTATTTTACCAAAACTTTCTCTATTATATCTTTCTGGATTGATATACAGCTGAATGATTATGTTTGACATTTGAGTTGGTAGTAGTCACCAGATAGATAGTCACTCAAGTCTTACATATCAAGTCTTGAGTGTAATTTATTGTAACAGCTAATGTTTTATCCACTTAGTTTCAAAACCATGTTTTCCAAACTTGCTAATTAGTGCTAAGTTTAACTCAAATAAGTGAAACTGAATTCCTTTTTGATAAAACATTGCATTCAAAATTAAGTTTGAGCAACATGGAAAGTTTGGAGCTTGAATTATGCTTTTGTGTATTAATGAGCTTATAGACTTTTTGGTCCCTCCCAATATCTCTAGATTTTTTGTTTCAAAGGTTTTCTGGCAACTTGTCTTTTCACTTTGGTTTTTCTTTGCAGAGCACCTTTGCATGAGATTTATGGCTCTTGAACTAATGTACCACTTCTAATGTGTCCAAGTTTTCCTATGAAGGTCTCCATCATGATGTCTTGGCGAACACTATGATTATGCACATCTTGAGCAGATGGCTTGTTGTGAAAATTGAAGAGGATGGCTGGTTGACAATAGTCAGGTACAAATGTTAGTAGATTGTTTTCGCTAGATAAATCCACTTTTTCCATTTTACTAAAATTTGTTGCCAATAACCTGAAGAATCTTCCTTCTTCCGTAAAATTTAGATAGTTGTTTCACGTCGCAAGAGTAAGTAATAGAAGCTAGAAAATGTCGGATGACAAAGGTCACACTGAGACAATTACCTTCTCTTGAGTTTTCGAGCTTTACTGGGCAGTGCTTTAGATTCTCGAGGTAGATTTTTCTTTCTGGAGATTGAGTTCCTGTTGGTGTTCTCCATACTAAATTTATGTCTTTTCAAGATCTCTGGAAATTCTCTCGTTTTTCTCTTTCAGGACTTCTTTTTTCCGTATAAATTTTAATATTTCTTTGGCACTGTAGTGTAGCATTTATGGGTTTGGGCAGTTTGAAGTTATTCTTTTGCTCTATCATGTGCAGATTGTCTGTGAGGCTTATGCCCGGATGCCTTTCTTCCTAGGTGGTCTAATCTAATGGAGTCAAGTCTAGTATCTAGTTTATGGAGCTTGAGATGGATTGGAAGTTTTTTATTACTCTTAACTTTAGCAGGCTAGTTAAGTGGACATCGAGCTCAAGGTTCGACCTACTTGAGTTTGAGGCTTGGGTAAAGCAGCAGTTGGCATCTCCTACCTAATGTTGGTTAGTTACTTTACATAGCATCTGAGGAAAACATTTGAATATTGAAATAAATAAAACTCAATGAGCTGGCCAATAGGAGTACAAAAGTGCTCTAGCTTGACTCAAACTTGACCAAATTCTATCTAGTTACACTTTTTGAGCTTTGACGAAGTTGAGATTCCTTCAACTGAGGTGGTCATGATTTGATTAGGGGAGTAGCTTAATTAAATTAGTTCCTTCTGCAAGTGAGCTATGTTACTTACCGTTGCTAAGCATTTTGCTGTTGTCACCTTCCATCTTCCACATTGGATAGAATTGAATGACTTCCAGTGTTTTTTGGATTTTATTAAAGAATCTCTAATGTGGATTAAGTGTTACTCTTCTGATCCTTGGTCCTGCATGACTTTGGAAAAAACCATCTCTATTGTCTTATAGATTTCTGCAATTGCATTGGGATTAAGGTATTCATGAATCAGCGAATTTGACCAATGGCTAAACAATATCTCTTAGGCTCTGATGATAAAGATTTTCAGAATCAAATGGTAACTAGGTAGTTTATATCAAATGGTAACTAGGTAGTTTATGTGTTTTGGCAGAGTAGATGCATATTTAGGACATCTGCCTCTTGAATCATACTAGTAAAGACTTAATACTTAACTTCCTTCGTAACAGTGTTCACTTGGAACAGTTCTGGCCGTAATTGCTTTCCTTACATAAATTGCTTATGAGTTCTATCCACAATTCCAGTTTTGATCCTGAAGCATAGTAGAAGTATAGGTTAAGTACATAACTGTAACTTTGACCTGTTTTTGTATAAGTCTTATGTTGGATTTATGACGAGTAGTGAAGGATACTCTTGAGAAAAGGAAATTGCCTTGACATGCTTTCTACTTCTTTATGCACTGAGGCTCAATGGTGCAAATTGTCTTCCTGGACCTGCTTCTACCACTTAAAAAATGATGTGTAGTAACTGATGGACGCTAAAATTGTGTATGGCCTCTAAATGTTTTTATGCAGACGTAGCTGATATTCAATTAATGTGTCCTTTTTCTTGTACATTTTCTATTTTAATTAATGCATGAAGGACAATTGCTTCCTTTATTCCACCCACACTTTTCTAGCGGAAGATTTCTTCCTAGGTACCTGAGGAATATAAGAGGCTTCCTTTAGTAGGTAAGAAATGGATCAACTGAGATGATAGAGATTGAAGAAAAATTTTGCTATACTCTCTAGTTGGGGTTTTACTAAAAAGGAAAGAATAAAATGTTTAACGGACGTGACTAATGATCTGTACTTTCCTCAAGGATGACAAATAAATGGTAAAATTGAAAATTTGTGGACAAAGAACTACAAATATGAAACCATGAAAGTTTGTATATGAGTTGAAATGCTAGGAAAATCATGTTTTGTGGAATTTTGTTAGTTGCTCTAACTCAGATAAAAGGCTTTTTGGTTATTGTGAATTATAATCAAAAGGCCATGCTTGCTTCTGTATTATATGATTTAAGAACTTATGTATCACACATGCTTCAGTAAGTGGGAATACTGTTAATTCTGTCAGCATGATACTGATTTTAGCTTTGAAGACCCTAGAGCAATTAATCACAGTTTAACTTTTCATATGGTTTATGAAAGGCCATTTGATATATGTACTTGCTCGAAGTTGCTGTATTGACAATATCAAGACAAGATCCTATTTTCCATGTTCATTTTGAATTTGTCACCCTAGTGAGTCAAGCAAGACTTGCTCTTTAATCTGGTTTCTACCTGTTCATAGTTTATATCTGACTGAACTGGTGGATTTATTCATCAATGAAAAGTGAAAATGTGTGCAGATGCATATGTCAATTTTGCTAATGGATGTGTTTTGGTTTTAAATTTGCTCTTCTTTCAGACCACCTCTTCACCTTTGGCATATGAGTTGATTTTGCTTTCAGTGTCCTTTGTTGTCACACATTCTGCTTATGGATGGCATTGGCTATTGAAGCAGTATTTATCTTGTACAGCTGTCCTTGCTCATAATTGTTTCCTGGAACATGTATGCTTTCGACACCTTCCTTCAGTTAACCCGGTAAAAATTTCTATCTGCAGTTTTCCCAGCCTGGAATCCAGAATCCTCCATCTGTTGCTTACAATGTGGGTTTTGTGGTATTCGTTCCTAGTGAGTATTGAAAAATGCCTAGTAGTAGATAATAGGAGTTGTTTTGGTTCCTTCATTTTTGTGTTTGTTTTCATGCAGTTGTGAGATGCATATGTCTACTTAAATTCTTTGTAATTGCTAATGACTGCATATGCAGTCCATGATTCACTGCTGCTTGTACATCTCCAGAAACAGAATTCATATTCTCAACCTAAGTGGATTACCAGAAAGATCAATCAATTCAACATCCAATTTTTGGCCAGTCAAACAGATCGTATACATTCTTCCTAATGTTGTCTGTGGGTTTGTTTTACCCATGGCTTCACAAGTTGTAGCCCGACATGTCAATGTCTTGAATGCAAGTAAGATATACAACTAAAGATGGACAAAGGTGTTTGTGTGTGAGGGAGAGACAGAGAAGTAAGATGACGAGTATCTTCTAGCTATCGTGCTTCTGGGTGAAACAAAATAGCGAGGACTAGCGAGATACAAGATGATAGCTGTGTATAGTTCATGCTAGTCTGTCCATTGAGGTCATCATAAACACCATATAAAATAGAATTTGATGCCTGAAATTTCCTGAATTTGCTTATATACTTCCTTATGCCTTTAATTATCCAAACACTGAACCATAATCATGTAGCTGAACCAAAAAGGATAAGTGGCACCCATGGCAACAATACTGGTTTGCTAGTCTATTGTGACTGTCTGGTTGGCATTTTCTTATCTGCAATGGGAGTGAATGTGGTAGTGTTATTATGGCAGAAAGAATCACCATTTGAACATGTTCACTGACTGAAATTCTAACTTGGAAATAAAGTTTGGAGTGCAACTTTTTTTTGGCTTGTGCAATATCTAACTGCCTTTGAAGATTCTTTATCGAATGTACTTCTGTTTCGTAGATGGAAGAAGGAATTGAAATTGCCTTTGCTTTGAGTTTGAGTACAAGAAGAGCAACTATAATGCTAAACATCTGACTAGGAATCACTTTGGTTGTGTTTGGGGTATCAAACTCTCATACTGGCAGGTTTGATTTTTGCATCTTGTTTATTTATGTCATTAAGAATTGGAAAAGATTAATCTGTCTATTTGGTCTTACAGTCTTGGGTCAAGTGATGAAGGTCGTGATTGACGAACTAAATTTTTGTTAGCGAAAGTTGGTGTCTATAGTCGGATATGTTGAAACTTTACACCTTGGACGTATTATCTTCTTGTATGATCATTTTTTACTGCTCATAATTGTTATTTGTTACTGCTTAGCTAATTTGAAATTCTAAAATAATGCACATCCTGATTAGAAGTTTTAAACATACAGGTGAAATAATATTATTATCAGAAAAAAGATATTATCTTTAGTAAGAATCAAGATAAGATATATGGTTCTGTGATCCAGACACTGAAAATGGACTTGCTCAGCTGCCTATACACCTATGTTGCGTCGGACTCTTGCAGAGTTCGACTTGATGGATGGAATTTGCTCTCAAAGTTCTAAACCGCTCTTGATGTTGAAAGGATACTGAGGTTTTGATTTTCAAGCATGTTTGCTTTTGATTTTAGTCTTTTTGTTTCCTTTCTTCTTACTATTTCTCCGCTTTATTAATTATTAAATTTGTATTAATTGCTCAGAGTTCTGGTATAACTGCAGGCTGATGTATCTGGAATGCACTGTTGTTACAGAAGCAGTACTCATTTTATTATGCAGGCTCTGATATGGCCATCATAAACGAGTTTAATCTATAGATACAATTTAGAGAGTTGTATAGAAGCAACTGATGCCTTTTGAAGTGCACAAATTGGTTTTTGAAACTTAATGAAATCATGGTGTTTTCACAACCTGGAGGTCCTTAACACTGATGCAAAATTTTTCAGATTGTTCCTTCAACACATCAACAGCATGGATTTCATCAGAGTAATGATCGGCATCCAATGCAACTTCCACAGCAACCTCCCTGCAGACAAGGTTTTGGTACTTGTTGATGAGACTAAAATACAGCTATTAATTTTCAAGCAATACTTACCTGTAAATGGTTGTCTTAGCTAAGAAACCATGCGATTGATGTAAAAATTTGCTGTATTATCTTAGTACATCAGTTTTTACCACTTCAGGCATTAAAAGCTTAGTATGCTCTTTTACCACCATTGTGGTTTTTATGCAAAGTTTCCCCCTCTTTTCAAGAGGAACATCGATAACCAGAGCTTATCTTACAAGAAGATGCTTACAAAACCCAAACAATCTTACATAACATGCTCATTAATTACTAGTAACAGGATGATATGCTGATTTACAAGAATAATTTACCATCTCAAAATTCCACAAACATCAATACCAAATTTGATCATTTGTTTCTGGCTTTTGCAGTGCTGAAATATTATTAACTGAAAGCCATCAACCAAGTTTCTTCCTTGAGCCATATTCTGCATTGGTGGTTACATAATACCGTGATTGATCATCATGCACTGGCCTTCTAGGACTTCAATTTGCTCAGTAGTACAATTCATCCTGCTTAAATATTTTTCGAGGCAGCTGAAACATGTAAATCTCTGGAATTCCTCAATTCCTGGAGTGATCCCAAAAACCTCATTTTGATTGTTCTCTATCATCTCATCCAGATCAAGATTTTGTGCTTTGCCATTCACCTTCATGCTCCAACCCAACAAGTAGTGCTTGGAAGCTAAAGGTTTTACGAGCTTAGAAGTTGATAATCCAACAAAAATGTCATCAGAAAAGTATGGTTCGATGTCCAGAGGATAAGAAAATGAATGTCTTTCAGGGGCTGATGAGCTAACTGGAGCTACTGTAACACTTATTTCTCTCTTCATCCCATCATAATCCAGCCAAACTTGACTCATCTGCCCTGATTTTGTGATCCTTACTCTCCATAATTCGTCACTAGATTTTCTGTAAAATCCCAGTGGAGAATGCTTCACTACTGGAGCACCATTGATCGTGACCTCAAGATGATTATTTTCGATGCCCATCCAATCTTGGCTAGCCTTGAAGTTGATCGAAATCAGTGACGATGAATCTTCCAGTTTCCTATCTCCTCCTTCAGGCACCAAGCTGTAGAGAGGTAGCCACTTTGAGGAAGACATGATGAACGATAATCCTTCCTCACTGATTTCAGCAAGTTGGTCTTCAATTCTCATTGAAAACACAAAGGTGGTTGAAAAGGAAAAGATGCTATTGCTGGTCTGGGATGGCCTGATCTTCAACGGTTGTGCATAAAATACTTGACCCTTTACTAGGCCTGTTGAGTTGACCTGCACGGCTGATCCGTCAGGCATGATTTCAGTAACACCATCAAGCCTCAAGCTGCTGTGAAATATGAACTCTTGGCCATTGATGGAGGCTGCAAGACTAGCAAGAAGAAGCAGTAGCTGAAGGGCACTGGACATGGCTAATTTGGTAGCGCAACCATTTTCAAAATTTGAGCAGGATGCATTAAAATCACGGTGGTCACTTGGAAACCAATAGGTCAAAAGTCAAATAAAGAATTAAACAAATAGGTCCATGGAAGTATGAGAGTATGGTTACGAACAAGGAACCTTCTTGATTAATAAGGGTGGAAAATCATCAGTTTTGTGAAATAAAGAATTTCATCAAATCTTGAAAACTTGAATCTCATTGGATATTAGAATTTTGACGAAGGCGTGGTGCAGGAGAAAGTGACTTGTTTATTTGACTGCACTAGCTGGCACCGCAGTTGCAAAATACCAGGCTCGCTAGGTGAATTATATTGGTAGTTGGTTGCGGTCATTTGTTGGCATTTGAGGATGTGACTGGTCTCCTGGTTTCCAATAAAATAAAACAAAAGCAAAAAGAAGGCGATTGCATTCACACTCAAATATTTGCAGGCTTGAGGCTCAAATGTGATCAGATTTTTTTTTTTAGTTCGATTATATGCTGGACTGATATCCTAAGGCAGAGAATAAGACGTGAATCCGGTAGTATTTTATCTGCAAAAATTTAATTTTTTGCGTTGAAGTGCATGCGATTTAGGGGTAATAATATTAAAAGTTGTATAATCAGTCCCCTTTTGTTGATTTTGCTTATTTTGTGTCCTCAGGACGTATTAAACTAAATTCAAACAATCACTTTCCGCAATTATTTTCTTTCCAATACATGGTTATGGATCTCCTTATTCACATGCACGTGCAATTCCTTTTCTTATAGGTCACGAAATATCACCTAAAATTTTCAAAATCTCACTTAGCACCGATGAAGTGACTGTGGGACAATAGCAAATATCAAAGGTGAAGTATTAAAAGCGATAGTAGGACCATAACCAATACCAATGTGAGCTGTTATTCTTACCATTTGTATGGGAAAACTCAAATAGATAAATTATACACATATTTCTCAAAATTTCGTGAAATATTTCATATCCTATCATAAAAAAAATTGCCTTCGCCAAGAGACACGATTGAAGAGCTAATTACGCGAATTGGCACCAATAAAGCACAGGACGAAAGCGAACACAATGAGTCAAATTTAAAAATCTCAAGACGTGATTTGCTCGAACGTGTCAAAATGCGGAGGATGAGACCAAGGGCCGTATGTCCATTCGAAATGAAATTAAGCAAGCTATGACACCATCCAATTCTAACCACTGAGCTAAAGCTCGATTAAGTCCTTTATTAGACGGTAAATCAGGGGTTCGAATTCCATTTGCAGTAAAAAAATTTAGAAGAGGTGTCAAAACGCTTCTTTGTTCTAATCGGATCTAGAGGATGTATCAAAACACATCTTTGGTCTAATCAGATCCGTAAACCTACTAGTCCCTACTAGGTTGTTTACTTTTTTCTTTTTCTTTTTGACTGACTTTAATGACTCCACTCCCCTCTTTTTTTTTTTTTTTTGGCTGCAGTTTCTTTGTTGCGAGTGAGAATTTTCCTCGTACTTCTCCTTAACTTTCTCACACGGTTTGACAATTCTTTTGTACTAGTATATTATCATATAAAAATGACAATCATTAATTGACAGAACTTTATAATGTCAATATATATTGTCTCTTTGTCTCCTTTCTTAAGCTATTTCTAGGAACCAGCAGTGTCATTGGTCACTAGGAAAATTTTGTGCCTCTGTTTCTTCTTTTGTTCTCAAAGTTGCTTTTCCAGAATACAGTATTCAAATAGCTCGAGGGATCATCTACCATGTGGTGTTATCACATGAGTTTTTTCCTTTTTATTATTATTATTTTTGGTTACACTCACTCTTGTTTCTACAATGTGGTATTGTTGGCATATTAAATCAAGACTCAAAATTAGAAATTTTAGAAAATTTCTAATTATTTTGTTAGGATTATTTAGTAAGTTTTAGTCAAGTTAGGATTTTAGTAATTCTATTGGAATCAAGTTAGGGTAGTTTTATTGTTTAAGAATTAGTATTTATTAGAAAATTTCTTATAGTTGTAAAACTTGTTTATCAAGTCATTTAATCTATAAATAGGGAGTCATATTATTGTGTTTAGTTGAGAAGAGTAGGGATTGAGAGCTTTGTTCTTATGATGTGATTAATAGATTATTATTGGTATTATTGCTCTTCAATATCATCAAATTATTTTGTTGGACTCTGTCAATCCCTTTGTATGTTTTCTCCAATATATCCCAAGCCTCCTTTATCGTATCAGCTGTAGCAATTTTTCCAAAAACTGACATGTCAATTGCATGATAAATTTATGACAAAGTCAAACTGTTTTTCGCCTTATCATCGTTACTAGTATCTTGAGCAAATGCAGATTCAATATACCGATGTAATTTACGTGCCTTGAGATGGGTTATCATTTGTTTCTGCTAAAAAATTGAACTCCTCCTTTGTTTTGAGTTTTTTGACAAAACAAATAATATTGGGGTTAGAGTTTGCCATACTTCAATTTACCATTGCTCTGGTGCCACTCTGAAGGACCCAAATTAATAACAAATTATAAATCCACAGAAAAATATTCAAGAACAACGAAATAGAGGCAAAGGGAAATTTTTCTCAAGTATTCACGCGGCGCGGCTGCGTGGCTTTTCTTTTACACGCAGACAGAAGCTTCTGACTCCACCTTTTACAATTGACGCAGAGACTGTATCTAATACACTTGTGTCTTACGCACTTGCACAATTACTAGTGCTATACCTTAATATAAGTAATCCCATGTGACTCCATCTATAAACTAACACTGCTACTAACATCCTTATACTATATAAAAAAGAGTTTAAGATAAAGATGGTCTTTGGATTTTAACCACAAGGGTGGGACTATTTTGGGAAAGTGAGAGTATTTAAAGTGCAATTGGAGTATTGAGTACAAGTTATTATAACTAATTTGGTTTTGTTATAATTATTTAGATGTCCTTTCAAATATTTAAAACTAAGGGAAAGTTTGATATGTGACAGTATTCAATGTCTGGTTGAGCATTGGGTACAATTGAATTCAACTTTAGTTTTAGTGAAATTACATAAAAGCCCTTCTAATTATTTAATTGTATTAACATCCAAGTCTCTTAATTTCCTGAAACTTTTCTCATGAGTTATTTTGCAAACTTATGATATATAGATGTTAAGATACAATTAATGCCAATTAGTGGATAAGGTTGGTTTCTTGGCCGTTACCATAGTAACCCCATCTATTCAAATTCATTTCTTTTACTTACAGCTTTCTTCCACCACAATCATGATGGCTTATTAAATTCGGATCTTGCTACATTAGCTATTAGTCTTCCCTATTTTGCAGCAACTTTCTCAATAGGTATATTTTCTTTAACAAATCAATTTTTTGGTTTTAAGAAATCTCAATAGGTATGTTTTCTTTAGCCAATCTATTTTTTGGTTGTAAGAAATATGTAATCTTACAGTTTATATGTGAGATAATTTTTTACTATTTTAATTCAATTGTCCATGTCAGACGACTTGATAGGGAGGAAATCACATATGTTTATTGGTATTTGTGGTTTAAGATAAGTTTATCATCATAAAATTTCCCATTTACAGATTGCATCAACTTTCTTCGTTGTTTTAGCTATTAGTTATGATAGTTTTGAAATCGTTTGCTAATCTATTAATGATTCCATTTGGGCAAATTTTCACTTCATTTGATTTGCCAATAGGTTTAACTA